CTTACTGTTCTTGACATTGAGACCCCCTTCCTTGAAACCAATCAAGGAAACTGATCACTAAGTACTTTTTCAGCACCTTCCAGGCTGCAAAAGGGAAGAACGAGTTAATTACGAGTTAATTTCCCTCCAGACAAATGGAATCATTTTTCTTGCTCTGCAGGGATCAGGCCCACTTTACAATAAACACTTTGTCTGCTCGACCACTGTGAAGATGGACACTCTGCTTACCGCCAAGAACTCCTTCCTGCAAGGCATGTACAAGTTTCTCTCTATCCACCCGCCCTCCCCCTGGCCACTTCACCCACCCTCCTCCAGATGCTTTGGGTAGTGACATCCTCCCCTTTGTCAGCACTTCAGCCGTGTTTGGGGGAGACAGCTGTATAATTTCAGGATGTGACTGGGGGCTGAGAAAATGCTTACTGGAATGCTGAATGTAAAAATGTTTCCACAGATTTTGTCCCCAGCATATATCATTCCTCGTAGGTTGCAGTCTGATTTGTCATTGAATGACAGCTGCTCAAGGGTTCTCAGTCTCCATTCTTTTTTCCCTGATCGTTCAAGGCATGAGAATGGGACCAGTTATATAATCAAAGGCCCATATGACTTCTAATTAAAACGCAGATTCGGAGGTAGGATTGTTTTCTTGCTAAAAGCATCCAACCCAGTTCCTTAAAGGGACCGTACACATCGTGGGAGTCTGAGAACGAGAAAGCAAGTTCATAAATCAAGAGCTACTGTGTGACCCTGCTCTTTTCTGCTGCCAAAGGAAAAGAGATTTTTATTTGAAATGGCGTTCTTCTGGCATCATTCTGAATTCCAGCGGTGCCAGCAACTTTTATAAACAAGCCATTTTTAAAACACCTTCAGCAGTATGCTAATGGGTATATGAATTTTCAATTAATATAAGCAACACGTGAGCAAATTTGAATAGGTGGCAAATTTATTTCTGAACAGTGTTAACAGTTTCAGGGATACAGTTACATTTGTAAGGATTCCGCCCCAAATCCACCATGCCCTCGGCTGTGGTTCATCACTGTGGTCATTCACTTCAACTTATCCAGAGAAAAGCTTTCAGATTCTATTCAGGCGCATACACTTTATTCACCTATCTTTGATTCTCCAAGCCATGTAAAGGATGCATTTTCTAAAAGGCAATTGTTTTTAAGCTAGATGATAAATCATAACCAAACTGATGTTATTTAGTCTTAACCATTTCTCAGGCTCCACAGTGAGCAAAGACGTTTATGGAAGCCCTTTTGCCAGAATGGTTAGACGAAATAAATATTTATTCATCTGGTTCATATATTGTGTTTATTTGAGGACTTTTGCAATTGTTTGCCATTAAGTAACAGAGGATAAGGCTTGTCGATTGACTGGGCATTCTCTATGTAACATCTGCGTTTCTCAGGATTAAAGCCTGGATTTAAATGTGCCTTAAGCTTTCGAAATCATCTCGTCACCATCGATTCTATCGTGAGAAAGCATTCGCGATGTCCCTACTTCTGTATTTCCTTTTTGCATGTTGTGCGCCTTGCTCTTCAGAAAGTGATGGTGGCCATTTCATTGGTGGCAAAATTCTTTTTTTTTTTTTAAATCAAAAATGGAAAGTCGACCACTGTAATGACACAATTGTGGAGTATAGAGTTTAAATGTAAGGTCCGCCTTCTGCACCAGTTTCAAATCGTTTCGCCGGGTGGTTAGCGACACGTAGGAAAAGGACTGTGTCTTTGCCGTGACACGGAGTTCTTTCTAGGTGCCTTATAGGTGGGGCGTAGAGGGGGAGGGTGCGAGGTCAGGATGCGGCCGTTTCCTGGAATGCCTCCGAAGCTCATTACAATTACTTGGGAGAGTACTGTGAAACCTCCCAAGTCACTTCATCTCACAGGGACACCTGAGAGAGAGACTTAGAGGTTGACTTTTCTCAGACCCTCCTCCTTGTATTAAGTTCAGACACTGTAAAAGGTTCCTTAATCTACTATGACCAGTGAGATCTGCATTTCGTCCTCAGTTTTCCAGATCTTTGTATGAACTGAAGGAGAAAACTACTAATTTAGCACATTCCGAATGGGCTATACACACGACCGGGAATATCTTTAACATCCTGCATACCCGTCTTGTCTCCCAATACACAAAAGTGCCTCAGTTGGACTCACCGATTTTGAAGCAATTCCTCTGTCATTTTTTTGCCACAGCCTCTCAAATTCAGCAATTTACCAAGCAGGCTACTCTTGCAGATAATTCTTCAAGCTTAAGCTTTTCATTACCATGTTGAGGGGAGAACACAATGGTTCAGACTTTATAATCCTGTGTGGCTTTGATGATAAAATTTCATCTTGTCTCTAGATCCACTTTAATATAAATACAGTAACAGTAACCACAAATAATGGTCTAAAATATCTTCGGTAAAATTTATTTCCTAATGCTCATGGCCTTTCAGCTTAACAAGTACCCTTCTTTACCATGTAAATGACTTGTGAAATCATCAGTCATCAAGTCACTTTCTTGGCAGCTATTAGATAAGATAAATCACAGTGGAAACTTGAGAGCTGGGGTCGGGGCTAGCAAAGATGGCCTCAATTTCAAGCACAGGGCATTGCCTTTAAAGATAGGCTTCATGGAGCTCTGTGTGGTGGGGGGAGAGGGCAGAGGGTCAGTGAGGGGAGCTGCAGTCGGATGGCACGTGTGGGTGGGCTCTGGTTGCTGAGGAAAGAGGGGTGCTAACACATTAGACTGAACCCAAACAGGTTAGGTTATTTTGCTCAAAACTCGTTCTACAACTTGTTGCCTTGGAATGATGCCTCAGCCTTATCTTGCCTGGAATCCTCCCAAGACATCAGACACTGAGGTGCGGCCCTTCGCGAAGCCAGTCAACGCCCGCTTCACCCACTACCTCCTAGATACTGTCCAGACTGCTCCAAACACTCCCTCCCTGTCTCCCCAGCTCCAAACAGTTTCTCCTCTGTTGACAAATCGATGGCACTGTCACCTGCCCTCCTCAGCTGCTGCCGTCTCCAGAGCAGGCCTCGAGTTGACCTGTAGTTTCTGTTCCTTCTGCGCAATCTTCTCCCTCCCGATCTTGGTCCAGCTTCTCAGCGAGCGTGGGTTGTACCTTTCCCGATATCACCTTACAATTTCTCCTTCTGAATCAGTTCAAGTAAGTTTTGTGCCAGTTCGTTATGTATAACACGGAATGAGCAAACGACCAAACCGAAAGCTGGTGCAGGGGCAGAGAAGCAGAACCCCCAAGTTGCTAGGAACTTTTCTCGCGGTTCCTCTCTCTGGCTCGGCTTTTCCTTAACTAGTTGGAAATCCTGCCTCATCCCAAAGGATGCTGTGTTTTGTAAAGTAGAAGAAATCT